CTCGATCTTATAAAATGAGAATGTACTTAGCAATCCGTAAAATCGTCCTGGTGCATTCTGAATGTAGTTTGCCTCCCAAAAACATACGCATTTATTCGGCTAGGTAACCGATTTATCGAAGGGCACGACTTGTTGCTCTGGCAATAGCGGCTTCGTGGGAACTGTCGGATGTATAGGTCATTGTCAGGATAGCGGAACCTCCCTTCCTGGTTTTTAGCAAATTCAAGCGATAGCCCTCGATGGGCGGATTTTCCTCGGTTGGAATTGACACTCAGCACTATATCCGCAAACTCGCTAGACCATTAACTACCTCGATATGAGCCTCATCATAAACCCCAGCGACGTCACGATTTGATATGCCAAACACGTGGAAAGGTATGGTAGGGGTGCACCATCGGCGCTTTTTCGCGCTTTGGACCGGTTCCTTGTAAACTGCGTCTTCTTAGATGCCCGCCTATCGCCTCGTTATCCTTAGACCTTCTCCTTTTGTTGTGCACTCGTGTTGGTGAAGTCCATGTGGGGTGGATGAGCCGGAGGTATCGTTCAATTTTCTGGGGGAGGTCCTTATCCTGTGAATTGGAGAGGGAATCATAGTGGAAGTGTGGGGGGTAGACTGTGGACGTCGACGAGTAGTTTGTTTTCTTTGCTTGGTTTTTCTGCTCCTGGTGGGCACAAAGACCAGACTTTCGCCACGTAGCATGCTCACATATAGGGCCATGCAGAATTAGAATTCAGCGTCTGATCTGGTACCACCCTAGGATAATGGACATAACTATTCAGGCGCGGGCAGGTGTACAGGACGTTCCCCGATATATTCCATGTTGAACTGATGTACCGGCGCACGCTTCACACCCGTGAGAGTGACATGGGATCGACAACTGCATTGCCGTTTTTGGTGTAAGTTAGCTGACTATCCAAATCTCGAGCATTATTGTGGTGACTCCCAAATATACCATTTTGGTCCAGAGGGATTTCTATGAACACTAACTTGCATTTGAGTAACTGAAAATCCGCTAGGAAGTTTGGAGAGTAACGGCGCTCGAACTCGTGACTAATCGTTATTACATTCTCCTTCAACAGTCTGTGTTCAAAGGTACCCGTGGGCGCGGAACTTCTGTGTAGGTATACAGAGCCGTGTTGAACCTCTGTTGGCTACTTGGGAAAATACCGGAATTGGCCGGGAATGAAATTACAGGCTTCCTCGGATTGGGCGGAATGAAAAGCGGCATAATATCTCGCTGCGGGAGTACCTCTGCCGAAAGTAACGCTCTGCGGCTACTGGATGCGGTAAGTACACCTCGGCGAAGTACCTCTGATGGGCTATAACATATACGGATGGAAGACCTCGATACTGTCTTGCTTCACACTACTTCTCAAATTCGAATCCTCGTGATGCATGCTCTGTCGGTCTTTCGAAAACAACACGAAAACAACAACACGAGAGACTGATCGAGCTGGCACAGAGATGCACGACTGACGAACACGACTGATGTCAGCCGACTGACGTCATCGCAATCGAAAGATCGAACCATTCTGAATGGCTCCTAAACAGCGGCCCTCCTAACAGGGGTAGGCGATTCGGCATCGACGCGCTCCCGGTGTCCCTACATCTGTTACCAAAATCCTTTTAAACTCTCTGTGGATCGAAAGGTCGCGGTCCCAATCGGTTCGCATGGACTGACGTTGTCATGTCACTTGCGGTGGCTGGCAGGAGTGGTATGCCTACGTGGCAGGGCAACGTGTATTCTGACCATGTGCTTCGTCGGAAGCGGGTATTGCTTTTTTCTCCGAGGCTAGCCTAGTAGATCATTTTTTGCAGCGCGTCTCGTTGGTTACCATGTACGAAACGCCATGTTGAGAAAACGTTGCTCAACAGGTTCAGTTCGCCAGTTTCAAACACAGGGGTATACCTGGTACCGTGCGGTCTAAGTCCAAGCGAGAATTCTCACTGTTGCCAACACTCCGATCTTTCCCGTGGAAGATCTTGGAGAGCTCCCTCCAGCCCCCAGACAGGTCATTCAAAAAAGAAACGGTCAGATGCTGGGGTTCTCAACAAGCATTCTCCCTGTTGTGCCCATTCTCCCTGTTGGGCGATTCCTAGCGGTGTGTCATTCTCAGTGTCTAGTTAGCTACGTGGTACCGTAGCGTGGTAGTGCTACTAGCCAGACCGTGCCCAGGGCTCACCTTTAAAACAACATCCAAATCTTTGAAATGCTGTGAAGGGAGTTCCATCAAGCCTTGAGAATAGTAGATGGTTGCTCGTCCCATCGCAGCTCAGGACACACACGCATCCACAGCGCTGAAGGAGGCGGCAAGAGGAGGAGTCTTCCGTCGACTCCCAGCCACCGCCCAGCTGTCCGCAATCTGTTGGCAGGGCAGTTCACTAGGGATTATTTAGGTACGACCAAATACACCTGAGATGATGCAAACGATAGTGCTAGCGATTTGGGGAACAACGGTGATATCCAGTGCACCAGTGCAACAATCCAAAACCGTTGGAACCCAAAATTGAACTGAGAAGAGCCCATGTGCTGACTGAACAGCGTGTCGCAGACACGCATGCCGGAAGCCCCATGTCAACTGAGTCAGCGGACACCCGGAGTGGTATACAGTCGGACTGTAAACCACCTTTACTCTAGGTGTATACCCACGAAAGAAAAGACGCGAGCCAACACACTGGACGAGTGAATGAAGACGAAATTTAAAAGTTAGGCCACTCGGAATGACAAAAAGTAGCCAGTTTACACTCTTGGAGGAGGAGCCAGGCGCAAATGGCGACCATGGCATCAATCAGTGGCAATAAGGGCCACTCCACCACCGTTCAAAGCCGGAGGCAATAGGGCCACACCAAAATGCATTGACGGCCTCAATCTCTGACGCAGGTGCCTAGTCAGCTCCATACCTGTCAGGAACCAAGGGCTGTCCACTGCAAGGTGTGGTGTGGGGTGTGTAGCTGGATAGACTGTCACCACCACCCCCTGGACCAAAGTCTCGCAGCGTGCCAAGTCATCTGGAAGACTTAAAGGGCGGTGCAAAGACTTAGAGGGAAAGTCAAAGACTTTAAAGGCCCCCATGTCCTTTGTTGTTGTGTGTTGTTGAAAATCGCGAACGCGAAATCGGACCAGGGCCCTGGAGTCGGGACGCATGGCAACAACAGGGCTAGGGAGGAGGCTCCAGGGCCAGGGGAGAACCCAGGGCCAGTGGCTAGGAGGGGAGAGAAGCACCATTGGTGTCGCTCAAGAGGGAGACAAAGCACCAGTTGGTGTCGCTCAAGAGGGAGACGAAGCACCAGTTGGTGTCGTCGGAGGTTTGGTGGGAGCACCAGTCGGTGACTCGCCGTTGGCTAGCGAAGCACCAGGCGGTGAACGCATCATAGCAGTGTGGCTAGCAGAAACACAGGTGGTGAACGCATCAAGGCCGAAGAGAGCCAGTTTGGCGATCTCTCATGGTGGGAGCACCAGTCGGTGACTCGCCGTTGGGGCTAGCGAAACACCAGGCGGTGAACGCATCATAGCAGTGGGGCTAGCAGAAACACCAGGTGGTGAACGCATCAAGGCCGGAGGGAAGCACCAGTTGGTGTCGCTCGAGATGGGGTGGGAGCACCAGGCGGTGACTCGCCGTTTGTGGCTAGCGAAGCACCAGGTGGTGAACGCATCATGGCCGGAGATCGATCGGTCATCGGCCGAAAAGCACAACAACACGAACGATCGATTGTTCAACAGATAACAGGGCTCCTGCAACCGGACCAAAGGTCGATAGTAGCAGTAGTAGCAGTAGCGGAGCTGGTAACAGTGTGGTAGCCATAGTAGTAGCCGTTCGTTCGAACGGAAGAACGATCGTTCGATCGTTCGTTCGTTCGAACGATCGACACCATAGCTCCTGCCGAGTAACCATGGTCGAGTAGCGTCGCTAGCAGTAGCCGTAGCCGTTCAATCGAACGAAGAAAAAAAGGACATCATTGTCCTCTTCCTTTGGTGGCTGCTCAGAGCAATGAGTGGCTCCCAGCACTATCTGCAGTGGCAGCCAGTCCAATTGGAGCATGTGTGCTACCACATTGCTCCGCTTGGAGTCATGGCTACAGCTCTAGCAAGCTAGAGCAGGCAGAACTGCTGAGAACGTTCAAAAGACGGATGGCCGTTTGCCTCCCACAAGCCAAAGCCGAGCCGAGAAGATCTGATGATGCCGCCATGTGCTTCCAAATTATTCAACCCTTTGTGGTGCGGCTTTCAGGTTGGTTCGAGTGGAAATGTGGCTAATTGGCAATAAAGTTTTTAGAAGCGGGGGAAGAGCCAGAAAAAAGTAAGTAATTTTTCCTTCGTTGGCCAGTTTTTAAAAATTAATTAAGACATTATTAGACCGTAGTAATTGTGCGACTCAAACGTCCTCCGCGTGTGAATTCTTTGATTGCATTTCGTTCTCTTTGGCTGTTTCGAGCTGTTTCGCTGCTCTGACACACTATGTACTGTACTGAGCTCACAATGGCTACTACGTACTTTACTCTGATGAGAAAGAACGGAGTACTCAGTGGCTTGCTGGCTATTGAGACGCGACTGCTGGTACCGTTAGTCCACCGGGGGGTGGAGAAATCCAGTGGCATGTGAATGGCACTGCCCCTCCAGTGGAAGACAGTGGTAAACAGTGGTTGACAGTGGTGGTCAAGAAAACAGCAGTAGAGACAGTGGTAAACAGCGGTATATGTAAAGATAGTGGTAAACAGCGGTAAATATGGTGGTAAAGAAATAGTGGTAGCCGGTGGTTGGCAGTAGTAAGCAAATGGATACCTCGCCAAAACCTTAGGTGGGCAGTGATGAAGCAATGGATTTCTCCATCCCCCCGCTGTGCAGTACGCTGATGCGGTAGCAGCTGCCGCACCTGTAGCTACCAGGTAGCGGTATTAAGGAGATGACATTGTGACCAGACACTGTAGATAGTACCGGTTTATTGGCTTGACACCAGGCTCGAAATCAATGGCGTGTGTCGGTCGCGTGTTTCGGTTAGGATCGGCTTTTAATAAAAGTGAAAAGTATTGCACAGATTTATCGTAAGTAGCAGTACACTGGTTGCGGTCACGGCCCGGTAAGGTACCCGGTACCACAGCAAGAGCCACAATAGCCAGCGGCTTCCGCTTGCCGGAGGATCAAGGTCAAGTTTCTCCGATCCGGGATAGTGGTAGTAATTACTAGCTACCGGTAGCTAGCTAGAACGTTGTGTACTTGCTTCGTGGTTTGGCTGCCGCAGTTTTCATCCAAATTGACGGGAGAGAGGAGCCTTCATTGTGATAACAGAGGAGAACTTCCAGGGATGCCTGTTCAAAGACTCTCTATAGCACCCTACAAGCCAAATCATATATTGGCCAAGAAGATTGTTCATGGTATCCCTGCAACAAGCCAACTCTTTGTAAGTGACGGGTTGAGATCGCAAGGAAATGATGGGCCATCCTGGCGATGCACTCACACTACCTACCATCTTCGTCGCTTGTTACTGTTCCCTCCAGTAAGATGCTTGACGACGTCTCTTCGACCCTCTTTGGCGTAGACTCGTCGACTCTCTTTGGCTTAGACTCCTCATCGTCAACAACAGGTATTGGCCGCACTCGTGGCGTCCAACGTTCCAGCTCCGGAAATAGTGGCCGCACTCGAGGCGTCCGACGTACCAAGTCTTGGGTCTTTCGGAAGACCACCGGTCGTGATTTCTCGGCTGCAGCTCACGCCGCGGCAGATGCGCCAACGAATATCTTTGCATCAGACATGGTCTCTTTGGACTTTGTGTCAACTCGGTTGGATGAAATCAAGTCGGACAAGTCAATAAGAAGACTGGAGATTGAAGATCTCATAATCAGTTCTCACCGGGCGAAGCTGATGGGGAAAGTAACGAAGCTCTTGTTTGCTGGAGATCGGGAATGGGGCTCAATTTCCTTTGTGGATTCCATCCCTTGGGATCAGTTCACGTGGTGGCGGGGGCGAAAGAGTACGGTCATGGCTGCCTTTGAAGGGACTAAAAAGACTGCTACGAGAAACAAGATCACATTCCAGGCCAACGTAGAGGTCTCCTCAGGTTTGGCTTTGAAAGACTTGAGTTCATTTCTAAGGGACATCAAAGGACAGCAAGGCATCTGCAACGTAACCTTTGCTGGAGCACTCTTTGGATACAGCGAAGGCTCCATGCTGGAGGCTCTCGATTCCGTCGTCAGCGGGGATGACACCTTATCAGAGATGGTCACCATCAAGATTTCGTACGGTTGGAAAGCTGAGCCCGACAGCTCCAAGCTACTAGACGCTTGCATACGGGATATCGAGGAGCTTAAAGGGTTCAGAGAAACGAGCAACCGGACTGGGGCCCAGCTGAGACGAGCTAGTTCTACTGGCGCTACTTTGGCTCAAATGCGCGACTCCCTGAGGAAACACAAGGACACGGCACCCCGTCCAGCTCTGAAAAGAAACAGTTCCGCAAGGTCTTGTGGCAGTACACGCAGCAAGTCTCCAGTTCCCAGTAGAACCAAGGCCATGGGGTCCAGTGCTCGTAGCAAGTCAATCTCGCCACTTCGGCGCAACCGAACGACCGGAAACGCAGATATTGGGAAACACAAAATGTCCATGGCGATAAGCAAAGATATTCAGTTGCCTAAACTCAGGCGCAACAGATCCGCTGGAACTCTCAATGACAAATGTGTGGAAATACATGAGCGAAGGGCAAAGAGGGAAAGCAGGAGAGCAGGGGAGAGGAAGACCAAGTCAAAAAGCGACCCTTCTTTGAAAGTCTTCAACAATGAATCCGACAACAAGCTTCCTGTGGTTAAGCGTGCTACGCTTACTGTGGTCAATCCTTGTACAAAGGCAAAAAGATCAATCAGCGAACCATCCCTGGACCATTACAGTGGTGATACGGAGTCGACCGCTGAAGGAAAAGATGAGAGCGGTAGAACCTCGGATGCCACAACCGCGGCGTCGACCGATTCTGATACTGAGGAGGGGTCTTCCAGATCCAGGGATAATTGTGCTGAAGGTGAAGATGACTCTGAGCACGGAACGGTGGATGGCCCTGACTTTCAATGGACAAAACATGCGAAAGAATCAAGTAAGCGTGGCAAAGAGGCTTTGGGTGCTTCAAACGTTATCCGTTCTAGCAACGAAACAGCAAAGGACCCAGTGGATGTCAGTCACGCCCCTCTGGAATACTTTGACTGGAAGCTTGGCAAACCAGTGGCGATCCCTAGAAGCAAGAGCGCTGGAAGCCTTAAGCAGCGAGCGAAGCAAACCGGAAGTGCCGACAGCAATGTCGAACCACAAACCCACCTTTTGGCATCACAATCGGTGGGCACGTTGAAATCTGGCCTGGCAAAGCAATCCCAAGCATCCCAGAGGAAGGAAGAATTCACCCGCAAGTCATCTGAGAGCATGGTATCTCCAATGCTAGTGCGGAACGGGGGCATGAAATCAAACTCCTCGTCGTCTTTGATTGCAGTCATCGAATCTGCGAAAAAGCAATCAAATACGAGCTCAGATACAAAACGTAGTGGTGCTGCAAGATCGTTGATGAAGTCAGTGGACTCGGCGAACCGTAGCCCAACTAGGAAAAAGTGTAGCAGTCCAAACAAGGAGAAGGGACGGGGTGGACGAGCAGCCAGCAGAGGCATGACAGCACAGAGTAAACGCCTCTCCGGTGAGTCATGACAACGGAGGGCTTCCTGGACGGCCAATATGTCACAAAGGTGGATTGTGGAAGCACTATCAAACACATCAGCAGGGGACTTTTGGGCAAACAACACTAAAGACAACATACAGCATACATGAACAGCTTTCTTATTGAGTTTAGTAAAGGAAGGAGAGGAGCTAATGACCCTCCAGAAATAATAATAGTAATAATGCATACAAATAAGGGATCCTCCAACACACTCCTGTCGTGCTGACACCTAAAGTGGCCAGACACGAAACAAATATTTCTGATGATTGCTGCGTAATCTTTCTCTAAATTGGGACTGGAGGTAAAACGGTCGTCACGCACACAGCCTCCCCCATAGTGCCTAGTCAAGGACACGCTGGGCGTCCTGCATCCACGGATTGGGCGTGCCACTCCTAGTGCTGCTCCGTGTGCTCCTATCTGAACGCACGCTATCTGCATCGTCGTTGTTTCGGGCTTCTTCTGCATTTTTTTTCTTGTACTTGCGACAGTCGCCGATGACATGTCCCTTCGTCTTCCAATAGAAACAACGGATATTGGGGTTTTGTCCAGCCTGGGTGAACTGGTACGAGTGACCCGTCATGTAAATTGTCTATAATGCAATAATCTTCTTATGGTTGTTGTCTTTGGTTTCTCTTCAGAAACTGTTGAGATATGTAGTACCCATCGCTAGGATGTCCTTTGGCCATGTGCACTACGCTGAAAGCTAGTGTAAAGATCTTTCGAGTGTTTTGAGTTTGAGAGAATGAAAGTTATGAGAGAGATTAGAAAGCTACGAAAACTAATCCATGAGAGAGATCGTTGTGAAGCTCATTGAAGTTGGTCTCCCACGGGAGGCCTCGAAGTGTGATATCGTAGGTTATGGTAATAACTTTACGTACTCCACCGTCCATTTCCGGAACACGTGGAAACTTCAGCTAGTAGCTGTCTAGTAGCGTGGAAGCTTTCCAAGCAGGCTAAATATCTAGAGCAATGTTTCGTCGACAACCTAGTATGACTAGCAGTCATGAGAACCCTGTCTCAATGACTATTTGCGAGGGACTACGTCACAAGTTGAACTCAAACCCTATCTAGGATCGAGTCGTGAATAAGGCTAAGAGCCGTGTATTGCATTCGCCCCCTGACAAGGGTCACAGAAGGTACGACATCAGTCGGACAAGGAGAACATATGAATTAAAGTGCGGGGCACTCTCCGGAGATTGGATATAGACATGTGCGTCGCACGATGGCAATCCTACAAGGGGATCAGGCCTTGTATGGGTGTAAATACCTTATGTTCCAAGTCTGGTAGACTGTGCCACTATTAGCGGTAGCATGTCGGAGCCGTACAGTGCCATTGTCATTGACTCGGTCTATATTGTAAGGACATTTGTACTTTGGCTGACCGTACTTGCGGTGCTGATACTGGTGAATCATCACCGTATCATTGACATTGTATTGATGAGGGACACACATCGCGTTTTCCCTATCGTTGTTTTGTTGGATAAGTAGTTGGCGACGTTCCTTGATGTATTTCCAGTTTTCTTCGAAACGGACGTTGTGAATCGCGTCACGATTGAACACGAGCTGTGAAGGCGTTGCACGCAAGGTGGTATGAATCGTGGCATTCATTGCGAACCTAACCGCCGTGAGGACTCCATCCCAGGATCCATTCACGAGGTCGTCTTGACACTTGATATTCTGAACAGCTATCAAGTTACAAATGGTCTGATGAGCACGCTCGACCATCGAGTTGGCTTGAGGGTTACGTGTGGTGATGAACTTGCGTGAAGTCCATATTCATCCCGGAGAGTCTTCTCGACTTCTGCGCGGAACTAACATCCTCTATTCATGATAACCTCAGCAGGCCATGGATACCGAGTAAGCCACGTCTGTTCTAGAACGATGGCTACTTCGTCTGCTGCTTTGGAACAGATCTCAGCAATCTTGAACCATCCGGTTACGGGATCAATCATTGTCAGGCAATGAAGTGTACAGGAATTCTTTTTCTTAGGATCCCCGATATTGTATGGACCTATCAGGTCAATGCATAGTCTTTCCCAAGGGATCTCCTTGCAAGTCTTTGGAGGAAGCAATCCCAGCTTACGCGTCTTGGGTTTGTTCAGTTGGCAGCTTTGGCAACGCTGACATACGGACTGCACAGTCTTGCGTAACCCTTTCCAGGTGTAGTGTTGACCGATGGTAAGTTCCGTGCGAGTCTCACCAGGATGCATCAGTACACCATGATACCATTCGACCAGCTTCTTCTGCATGGTCTTAGGCACAACAATCTTGTCGTCCTTGACTACTAGTTCATAGGACTTGTCCCCTCTGGGAAAAGATTGTTTCTTGTAGTCGTTTGGCTTGTCCCTGAGGAGTTTCTTGATATCGTTATCGTCCTTCTGGCAATGTTCGATCTCGGGGAACGAGAGAGAGAAGTCACTAGGGAAGTCCTCTTCGTCTGCAGCCATGAGCTCAGCAATCTCGCTGGCTTCCATTTGTTCTGAAGAACCATCGTTGTTTGAGATCTTAAGTCTCGACAACGCATCGGCGACGATGTTGTGTTCGCCCTTGATGTACCGAAGTTCAGGGCCGTATTCTTCCAGAATAAGGCGCCATCGCATGACGCGATCAGTATTGAAATTCTTGCAGGTGAGATTCTTGTGGTCCACGTGTACTACAATCTTCTGCCTGAGAAGAATGTTACGGAACTCCTTGAGAGTCTCAACGATACTGAGAAGGAACTCTCAGTTACCGTGTAGCGTGTTTGAGCGGGATTAAGTTTTGCAATACACGGCTCTTAGCCTTATTCGCGACTCGATCCTAGATAGGGTTTGAGTTCGACTCATGACTGAGTCTCTCGTGAATAGTCATTGAGACAGGGTTCTCAATGACCGCTCTAGTCATACTAGGTTGATGATGAAACATCGCTCTAGATATTTAGCCAGCGTGGAGCACTTCCACGCTACTAGATAAATGCTAGACGAACCTTCCACGCGTTCCGTTTTTGGATCGTGGAGTGAGTAGGATAGCTACCGCAACCTACTCTATCACACTCTACAGTCTCCCGCGGGAGTTCAGATCTACGATCCTTTGATTGTGGATCTCTCTCGTTGATTAGTTTTTCATAGCTTTCTAATCCTCTCATAACTTTCATTCTCTCAAACTCAAAACACTCGAAAGATCTTTACACTAGCTTTTAGCGTAGTGCACTGCTGTCACAAATACTGCCATTGGTTGACTCATAGGAGAGGAAGACCACCTCATGATCGAAATTGCCAATCTAGATTTCATGGATACACTGCATAAGAATAAGAAAATATTATTAGATGCGACAAATTCTTTTCTAATGTAGTCATTAGTAACTTACATTCAAAGTCCTTGTTGAAGTCCTTGTTCGTTGTTGCCATCAATAAACATAGCAAATTGGGGTCGCAGGCCTCCATGATACTGAAGGTCTTCCATGCACAACATCACAAACTCATGATTCATCATACAATATTCCTTGAAGGAAAATTTGGGTTGGTACCACTGGATGCAATACCCATGCCAAGCATCCATGCAGATCTGGCCTTCAATGGAGCCCAAGTCATAGTCCTCAGTAATCCTATCCTTTGCTAACCAATAGATGCACTCAATGAAGATGTCCTTCCTTTCACAGGGATGTGGACCCTCCAACATTTCAGAAAGGGTAGCAACAACAGCATGGTACCATTGTAGACTATCCTGAAGACCCCACTCAAACATGTAGTCCATGATGCCTGTCATATCAGGAGGAAGAGGCCTGCATGCTCCTTGCAACATCATCTCCTCAAGAATGGTCACTTCCATGGTTGTTGTTGGCAAACAGATGTTCTCCTCCTCACTGTTGTACCCACAAATGACATACTTGCAATTGAATCCATGCCTTGTAACTCGCAGCTCATTGAATGGGTAAGCTTGACGTAGCATCCACTTGGAGAACCATGGACTAGTGGCGATCCTCATTGTCGCGTCCTTCTTGTTGTTGTTCTTACACCAGCAGAGCGATGTTGTTGACGGAGCGATCAACTCGGACGTCAAAATTTCGAATTGTGGGAGGGTTCGGTGTCAGCCAAGGATTGGGAACAGAAAAAAAACGATGAGATGGCTGGCGTTGGGTAGATTTGAATCTGAGATCAACGAACCTCTGTAGTGACGTATACACACGTATTTTGGTGACACTTACATGTTCTTCAGACGTCGCAAAGAGAGGAGAGATGACTGGTCATTGCCTACTCCCCTCATTTTAATAAGTAAGGTGGGATCCGTTATGACTTTCATGACAAACGTCAGGCCCTGCAGGCTCTCAACGGCGGAATTGGGAATCCAACTGATAACCCTCTCCCTTTCTTTTTTCTTTTCCCTCCCCCGCGCTGGTGCCTAACCCCCCATAAACTCCTTTCTAGGCGAAAAGCGGTAGAAGGCAGTAATGTGATTGGCTAATCAACCTATGACATCAGCAAATACGTCATGAAGATTCAAATATACTTAACGTACCAATTATAAATATTTACAGGGCAAGTGAGCTATCAATGAGGTATTTTCTTGTTTCGCGAAAACAGAAAGAAGGATTCCTCTGTCGCGATCGATCCTTATCCTATCCAGAAAATACAGGACATGCTTCTTGAACCTAGATGGAGTTCAAGTGCGCTACTAGTCTAGAACTGAACACGGGACACTACCAACATCGAGCTGACATCACTGAACAACACTATACCATTGCACTTCTGAAGAGAAAGAGTACCAGAGGTTGCCAAATGGCCTATGTAATAGTCCCGCGACATTCTTCCAAAGGAAGATGAACACGCAAGCATGACTTAGGAAATGTCCGTTCATACATTGATATATAACTCATCCTAACTGACGTCGATCTGTAGGATCGACGTTGAATAGTTATATGAACTTTCCAAAAGACTTCAAGAAGTCGGTTGTAAAATCAACACTAACCATGGGCCTTCCTCGAAAGGAAAACTTGAGTATCTAGACAATTGGACTACTCAGAAGGAATCCAACCTTTTAACTAAAAAGAATATAAGATGCGATCCAGCTATTGCTTCTTCCTACCAACAGGAAGGAAGTTCGTGGATTCAAATTGGACCAATGAATACCAAGGGCTGCTCAAGACAGCAGACGGAGTAAACATCGTTCTAAAACAGACGTGGTTCCCAGTTATCCATGACCGGTTGTCATTGACAGAGAAGTGAGTCCGCGCAGAGGT